ATAAGTAAGAAAGTAAGAGGACAAGCGAGAGATTTAAGTAGAGAGGTTTGCTGGTGTGTTGTTTTTTAAATTTGTTTTGGGTTTGTTTGTTTGTTTGGTTAGTTTTGTTGGGTTTTTTTGGAGGGGGGGGGGAGGGGCGGAATGTAGGTCGAGGTAAAGAGTTGGAGATCCAGCAAAAAAACTATTCCAACCATGTTTAAGTAAACGGAGAAATTTCTCCCCTTAAAAAACAATATAATTAATTATATTCTGCGAACAGCGAAAAAACATGCACAGGTAATCCCGAACAGAAATATCTACGGTATGCTCGTAAACAGTTTTGTTTTTGCTCAGTGTACCTGGAGAAACAGCAATGGGGAAGAAGGGTTTTGATGTTTATACCACGGTGTGCTTAAGTCGTTAAAACTATTGCTGAAGATATAACACGATGCGAGAGGCCATCAGAAACAGAACGAGAGAGCGGGAAAGAGAGCGAAAGAGAGAGAGAGAGAGAGAGAGAGAGAGAGAGAGAGAGAGAGAGAGAGAGAGAGAGAGAGGGGGGGGAGGAGGGGGAGGGATAGAGACTTTCCCAATATTGAAGTTTCTGGATAAAACATTGATGTATATATAGTTTACCAGAATAGATTACTGGAAACTGGGTAAGATGTTGTAGAGGGAAGGGAGGGAGATGTTCAAGCAAGGAAGAGAAATGAATATTATACTTGCTGATGAGACACATTCCGTCAAGACATTTACTTCGTTTTGTTGCTTTTATTTGGTATATTTTTGCTTTTTAATTTGATTTTGATGGTTTATTGCTTTTTTAGGAGGGAGTTGTGTTAGGGTGTGGCGGGGATCTGGAGGGTGGAGTAGAAAAAGGGGGAAGGGAGCGGTAGGGGTGGGAAGAAATGGGAGGGTGGGGGTTCGAAATTGATAATGCGCCTTTGTTTGCAATTACTGTTCTCTTCGACTATCACATATTTATTGTGAGTAACAAGACATACCTCTCTCCTTCTCAGTATCGCTGCCAAATAGACAATATTTGCTTATATCCGTATAATAATATATTTGTAACTACTTTATAATAGACGAACTCAGCGGGGCTGATTTTTATCTCCCCTCTTTATTATACTTACAACTTTCTGTGTTCCGAGCTCAGAAACCATGACTTCATATATTCAACAAGATTGTCAACTTGCAATGATCGTTCTCTCTCTCTCCATCTCTCTTTCTGTCTGTCTGTCTGTCTGTCTGTCTGTCTGTCTGTCTGTCTGTCTGTCTGTCT